CGGACTGCGCCATGCAGGCCTTTCATCTCGGTCGCCAGGTGTTGGCCTGCGTGGCGGGAACCAACTTGCAGCTGCGGCAGGGCATTTCGTCCTGGATTGGTTTCTGCAAGATGGGGGCACTCTCTGGCGACGGTCGGTGCAAGACATTCGATGAGTCCGCCGATGGTTTCGGTCGCTCGGAGGGCTCCGGATCCTTCATTTTGAGCCCCAAGTCCGAGGGTACCCTGGCACACGTGATGGGAAGCTGTGTGAACCAGGACGGTCGCAGTGCAACCATCACGGCGCCCAGTGGACCCGCTCAGCAGCGTGCCCTCAACAATTCCCTACGCGACTCAGAGCTCACGCCTTTGCAGGTGTCGCTGATAGAGTGCCATGGCACAGGAACTGCCTTGGGAGATCCTATCGAGATCGGTGCTTTGGAGAATGTCTACGGCAGGGACCGGCTTGAGAGCGCCCAGCTCATTCTTGCTGCTGTCAAGTCCGTGACTGCACATCCGGAGGGTGCCGCAGGCATTGTGGGGCTTGCGAAGCTGGTGAAGATGATGCAGCACGGGCAGGTACCAGCTAATCTTCACTTACATCAGCTGAATCCTAACATAGACCTTTCCTCCTTTGAGTGCAAGATGCCAGATTGCCTTCTGGACTGGAGCCCGGCTCCGCGCTTGTCTGGAATCAGTTCCTTCGCGTTCTCTGGCACCAACTGCCACATGAACATGCAGGAGGCAACTCCAGGTGAGATGAACGCATTGCTGTCTGCCGCAGAAGCTCGCGCTCCGTTGATCTGGTCTCGCAGCATGATGTCGCGCCAGGACACAGCATTTCTGTCTGCTTTCACAAGCCTTCAAGCACATGTTTCATGACGGGTGGCAGATGCTGCCAGATACCATCTGATGCTAGGACCCTGTGGCCTTCAATCCCAGCAGCTTCAGCTGGGCTCGCACGAAGCACCCGCTTGTGATGGCTCCTCGCCAAGGCGCGGGCACACATCATTCTCCAGTGTGTGGGGGGGACTTCTTCCACCTTCATACGAGCACTCTACTCCGAACCGTGTTGTGCTCCGAGATATTCTGAGGCTCCGAGCCTGGCATTGTGGTCTTTGCAGCACCTATACAGGGCAAAGTTCTCAAGCTGCTGTCGCATCATCGTGTGCACGGCGAGATCGTTGTGGCAGGCCTGCTGGCGTTACAGCTGCCTCAACAATCTTCAAGTACTTGTAGCTTAATGGCGATTGCCCAACAGGAACAACGGACGGTGGATCATGCATGTGCGACTTTGACGGTAGGCGCAACGTACGTGGAGATGGTGATCGCGGCATGTGCGTCCGGCCAGCCTGGCCGCGACAAGAAAGGCTTCGTGTTGGAAGATTTTCTCTTCCTGAAGCCTATGATCCTAAGACTCGGCGATGATGACAAGGCAAGGAAGATCTATCAATGATGATTGCACAGGTCTTGCCTGCCTCAGTCCTGCCTCCTTGCGAAGCTCTGACAGGATCCTGAGAATAGTGGCATGGATCTCTATTTGCAGATGCAGGACCTCGGGCAGCAGTGGGGTCACTCCTTGCACCAGATGCACTTTTTCTCTGTTTTGCAGGAAAGCGCTGGCTGGTGGTCCATCAGCAGCGTAGAAACTGGGTCTTCCATTATCGTCAGCGTGCATGCCGAAGGCTCTGTGAGCCTGAGCCACCAGGCGCCGCGTGTTGCCTGAAAGATGTAAAGTAGCACTTAAGAAGGGGTGAAAGAAGACGTTCTTGTTGGAATGTCGTGTACATGTAAGATATAATATGATGCGGTCAGCTGGAGTCTGTCTGGCAGGCCTCCAGCATCGTCAAGCAGCCGCTCGAAGAGATCCGCTCGCGTTCCGAACAAGTTGATGCTTCCGGACTCTACGTTCACTGGGCTGCACTCAGCCTCTTGCACCCTGACATGGGCACAAAGGCTTCTGAGGCTTCTAGTGATGGATTTGTGTGGAAGGCGTTTGCTGCCAATCTCGGGCTGGAATACCAAGAGCGCTTCCAGACGGTGCGCACCATCCTTCGATCGCAGGAATCACGGCAGAAGTTGGTAAGTGCTCGAAACGTGAGGGTGCTCATGGCTAGGTGGTTTTGGGGAGCATGCTGGGCCCATGGTGGCACGATGTAAAACGGCAGATAACACAAGCCATCATGTCGTCGCATCCCAGTCCCGCAGGATGAAGTCCTCGCCTGGGTGGCAGCCTCTGAAGACGGCACGAGCGCAGGCTTCGCCTTCGGCTCCTTAGCCGCCAGCAGCCGCCAGCACGATGCACAACTCGCTTGCGGGTTGTACTGCCATGCCAAGGCCCTTCTGTCATTGACGGCGCTTTCCAAGCTGCCAGTGCCTTCCCTGGCATGGAGGCCGGCCTTCAAACTCGCTCAGCATGTGGAATCCTACTATCCGACCCGCCACATCATGCCACAGCGGCGATTTCCTCAGAGCTTGGATCCCTCGATGTCATCCCAAACTCCACCTACATACTGTCGCAGCTGGTAGGCCTTGTGATCCTTGTGAATTGCTCAGTGACAGGAGCAAGAGTTCCCAATGGTGCCCTTTGCCGCCAATCGCGTGCAGATCTTTGGCCAAGGCTTTTCCCACCAGGCCGAAACCCGCGGGGTTGAGGTGATGTATGCTTTTTTCCCGTGTTTGGAGCGGGATGAGCGGGCGACCGCGCTTGGAAAGAGTCTTGAAGCCTGATGGCACACTTACACAGACATGGAACACTGGCGGGAGGTGTGGGTGCACAACATTCTGCTGAAGCGCACCGAAGTGGAATTGGTATCCAGCTCAGGAAAGACAGTCAGGCAGAACTCTGTGGCGGGCTACCGTATAGTATTTCTTCGCAACACGATGTATCTTAGGAGCTTCAGTTGCACATGGCGCGGGATGACTCCACCGTCTTGCTTGCTATGGACTCATGGCCCTGATAGAGTGACATGTGTGACAACGTGCCATGATGTTTTGCCGGAGGATCGCATGCGTTTTCGCCAAGTGCGGCCTGAGCAACTGGCACCTGGCTCTGCATCAGCGGAGGTCTCTGACGTCATGCCCCTTCCAGTCCTCAAATCACAAGATGTCAAGTGTACGACTTGCAAAAATTAGGCTGCTCCGACGGGCAACCCCCAATGCAACATGAAACAGCTCCACAGACGCGAGTCTAGCCTGTCAAGGCAAAGATGCTCGAGCAAGGTGTGGAGGACGTCGAGGAGGACATCTTGACAGTCGAGTGGGCGGTCGCAGAAGGATCCCCGGGAAAGGCAATCGGCGCCACTGGCAACGGGGTCGTATTTGTTGGCGCGGGACTTAGCCTTAGCTGCACGATTCGGAAGCAGCTGACGGGATCGCATGGAACATTTCTAAGCATTCGATAGCTTGGGCCTGGTGGTTTCTAGGCTTAGATTCGGCTGAGGTGCTGCAGAGAAGCTGAGCAGCTCCTTGAAGAACATGCTGCCTGAGGCCAGGAGTGTCTGCTGTTTTTCCGAGTCTCGGGTCACAATAAGCTGTTCAGCTACTCACGAGAGCTCTCCCCCGAGAGCCAGAACATCGAACTTGTTCTGCCAGAATGGGTAGAGGGTGGGGGAGGGTGGGGGGGGGCCCTAAGGGTGGTGTGATTCGGGACTGGTTTTGGCAGCTAGCCCCCACGGCACCACGGGCATTTTGGCCGCCTCCGTGTTTCGGCTCCAACGGACTGGTGCTTAATCTTCAGAAAACAGGGCTGTTTGCGTACCTCCACAAGCTGCGCATCTGGAGCTTTCGTCGCCCCCCTACCCCCCGTTTCTCAAGTCTTTGTGATGTTTCTGTTGCTTTGGGAAGATGGTGACTGTCCCGTATGCACTCTTGAGAATGCACTTTTTTGAAGGCTGCTAGGAACGCTCCCACGATAGGAATGTTCTGAAGAAGAACGCTCCTAGGAGCGTGCCAACAAGAACTAAACTCAGCCAAATCACGACACCGAAAGCAGGGAATTGTAGCAACATTTCGCACCTACAGTCATGGAAGGTATCACAGCAGAATGGCATAAGAATGATCTAGGACCTGCTTACTTAGCATTTACTCCTAGCCTGGGGCAACATCGCTAGTCTGCATTCAAGGATTCCATACTGTCTTCTAGCTGTTTCAGCAATTTCAGC